TAGGATCATTATCATAAGAATGATAATGAAAACAATAATAATTATATGGTAAAATAAATGGTAAAGATAAAAGAATACTAGTAATAACCATTACCAATACAGATATAACCACTGATATTCAAAAACAAACAAATAAACAAACACATGGTTGATATTAATTCTTTCATTGTGGACATCTCGGTGATGCAAGTGAATATCATGTTGATGAAGTAAGCAAAATGATGCATTCTATTAAAATGCATGAAAAGATCTTGGATCACATACAATAGTATGAATAATGTTAACTTTTATTATGCCAACGATCATACCACGTTGAAAGCCCCGCTTCTCAAGGCGGTAGCATCGGCAAAAAAAGATTATTGATATGAACAGTAAACTAAGCAATATTGATTATATAAAATAGCGTAAAAGTGTATGAACTATTTGATAATGGTCAGTTGTTCATGATCCCTACAATGTGGAGGAGATCGCAGTGACATGATTGGAGTACCATGGTAATAAAGTTTAATGCTAAAACATGATACATTCTACCAAAATGATTTATTAATCTCTTATCGCACCGGAAAGATGGGTAAGGTTAACTTCTTATATGTCAACGATCATACCACGTTGAAAGCACCGCTTCTCGTCCGATCAGCGAAGTTAAGCAACGTTGGGTCTGGTCAGTACTTGGATGGGTGACCGCCTGGGAACACCAGATGTCGTTGGCATTTTATTTTATATGCTAATTATGTTAAGCATTTCTTTACAATTTATAGCAGCTTCTCTTTTATTTGTTTAAAGAAATCTTTTGAAATCACACATCAATAATAAGGAAATGGAGTTTAAGTAAAGCCGTTAAGAAGAGGGAGAAGGATAGACAGAAAACGGATAAGATAAGGGTAACTAAAGTAATGGCAAAGGTAGGCTCAATATCACATAGCTTTCCGCCAGTGCTAACAGATTAATCATTCATTTTCGTAGAATGTATCATTTTTTAAATCATCAAACGTCAGTACCATGGCACTGCAATCATGTAACAACCGACCATTATAGTTGTAATCCTCTGTGATAATTAGGAAAAAAGCAATTAGATGAAATTACCAAGTCATCATTGTAGGAAAAAAATATTGAAATGATGACAATCTTCATGATATCATTTACTATGACTTATACACACATAGCAATGTATGATTTTATTGTCATTTGTTCAGCAAATTATATTAATATCATACAGCAAATCATATTATTATATGCTCAGCAAATTGCATTACAGCAAATTTTTATTGGTAATATGTATAGCAAATTATATTAAGATTTAATCGCGACTGACTGTTTAGACTGATATTTAAATAACTATTATCACTGATACCATTATCGGGTGCAATGAAATTTCTAAAAGACCGTAGCAAAATCTGTTAAATATCAGAAGGAACTGAATCAAATGTTTGGGAAGCAGAATTGCATTTACTTTAGTTACTCTAATCATAAGTGTTTTACGTTTGTTCTTCTCCCGCTCTTCAACGACGTTGACTTTTACTCTATTTCCTATTGATTGACATAAGATTTCAATTTATTCCTTTAGGCAAATGTAAAAGGAGCTGCTATAAATTGTAAAGAAATGCTTAACATAATTAGCATATAAGATAAAATGCCAACGACATCTGGTGTTCCCAGGCGGTCACCCATCCAAGTACTGACCAGACCCAACGTTGCTTAACTTCGCTGATCGGACGAGAAGCGGTGCTTTCAACGTGGTATGATCGTTGACACATAAGAAGTTAACCTTACCCATCTTTTATGTGCGATAAGAGATTAGTAAATTATTTTAGTAGAATGTATCATGTTTTAGCATTAAACTTTATTACCATGGTACTCCAATCATGCCACTGCGATCCGCTCCACAATGTAGGCATCAAGAACAACTGACCATTATCAGGAGTGAAGGTCATGAACACGTAGCAGTCCGTTGTATCAGAACAAAGTCCTCAGTAAAATGTAGTGTGTAAGTGAACTGTAAAGGTGAAATTATGATCATACTTTATAGGATCACTTCTTTAGTGCGATTGCCGGGTTTCTCGCCAAGAATCTCGGAATATATTCAATCACGATGAGGACTGTTAGTGTAATCCTCTGAGCGGGAAGCGGCTCTCAAGTTGTGCTTGAGAGTTTTGATGACCGTTCTGACTCGGTTTGCCGATGTCAAGAGGAGGATCACACAGGCTGAGTGGTTGATTATCAGTCCACAAGAAGTGTTCTTGAACTTTTGAAAACTTATAAGGAGAACAAATCATAAAAAAAAGTTTGTTGCGTCGTGGGTTCATAGTTTCAAAAAACAAAATAAGCATCAGTAAAGAGGTGGCAGTGCTTGGTATTACTGTATAACATTTCATGGTTTCAAATGGTTGAACTAGGTTTGAAATGAACAAATTTGTTCGCAAATGTAGATACTTTTCCGCTATTTCATATAATCAATATTGCTTAGTTTACTGCTCATACCACTAATCTTATCTTTGCCGATGCTACCGCCACTGTAAGATTAATCAATACCCTCGCTATGACAGTTACCTCTGAGGTTTGCTATCCACTTTTTTCATTCTATGTAAATATGTGACCCTGTAGCAACAGTAGCGTAAAAGTCTGTGAAGTGAACGGTAAATCGTACTGACACGAATGGCGGTTAATGTATATCGTATATCATTAAAATAGGCGAAAGCAATATGTAAATAGATGAGTAGACCATTACTAGAAATTATTTAGCAGTCTCGTAGGTATTGCAATAAGTTGCCAGTTTTCCGAAATCAGAGTAATTTCTAGTGTTTTAGGAAAAAGTGATGTAACTTGACAATAGGTTTAAATAACATTCAAGTTCAAATGCAGTATAAAGCCATGATCTATGGTCACAGTGAAAATACGTATAAATTGAAATGATGAGTTGATGTCCTCCCCGGAGGGAGTGGACCAATCCCGGAGGTACTGCAATACCGGGCCGATCCGCGGCAAAGGTGGAGCAAGCCCCTAGCACTTCGCCATTTTCCAAAAATCAGTTTAATATCGTAGATCCCACATGGGGATCGTATCAGATATTAAGCTGATAAGAACAGATACTACACTTTGATCTTAGCCAAAAGGCCGAGAAGCGATACTGAAAGATGTTCGAAAGTGAGCCTGAGAAAATAGTTCTGAGGACTTGCTGGTAACGACATTCAATTGCAAAACGACATATGCAACTACTTGTTAGCATATTTAATATCTAAAGATCACGTTTATGCCATCACAATTACATTAAAATCTTATTAGAATATTTACGTTTTATAAAGTAATATTTTGCGTATAAATGGTGATATATTCATATAATTCGCTTTCTTTATCTATATGCGTAACCATCACAATTGTACTCGATCAAATCACAATTACATCTTATTAGAATATTTACGTTTATAAGTATATTTGCGTATAAATGGTGATATATTCATATAATTCGCTTTCTTTATCTATATGCCAATTAAACTTGTACGTTCTCTTTAAATGAAAATTTGACATTTACCATGTTTCTGGAGGACTGAACCTTTACCATGAATCTTAACATACTAGGATTTGGGAGTTGCATAGAAAATGTATGTTTGTTTTCTTTATTGCATTTAATTTCTTTTAGTTTTAAAAGAGAAAGGAAAATCACACGCACCTCTGTTTCTACTTAGAACTTTTTCAGGAATTAAGTATGGCAAGCATTTATAAATTTCCTGATATGCAAGTAAAGAGTAATAGCAACGTAAATATAATTCGTATGGGTATATGTACTATTTTTTATCATTTTATTTTATCATAAAATCATTACGAATTGGAAACCGTTTGACAGTTCTACTTTACATTTTTTTCTTTTCTTTTTTTGCGAATTTGTGAAGAGGGGGTGTATGAATTTTTTATATTTCGCATACAAATGCCAACTAAATATTTGCATAAAATAGTGCGGACCGCGTGGTGTCCTCAGTGCGAGCGAGCGTGGGTCGGCTTGAGGCGAAGGAAAGCATACTTACCTGGCACAGGAGATACCGTGATCACGAAGGCGGTTCTCCCAGGGCGAGGCTCACCATTGCACTCCGGTGGCGCTGACCCCTGCGATTAACCCAAATGTGGTTAACTCGAGTGTGCAATTTTTGGTAGCGGGGGACTGCGTTCGCGCTATCCCCCTTATAACGTGTCACAATTAGAGGAAATCAAATTAAAAGCGCCCAAATAAAATTATCACCTTTACCGTAGAATCCGGAATATGAAAAAGGTCTGACCTTATCGCGCTATCAAGGTAAAAATTCAATGTAAAGCGGTATCCGAGTCCCGGGAATCACGGACTTTCTCATATTCATGACTTTTGTTATTTTTATTGTATTTCAAACAGAAGTCTACGGTGGACTAATAAATCGTTACCGAGTTAAGTATTTTCTTAAAGGCTTTTCTTTTGATATATATACCAATGAGAATTTTTCCTGAATATTCTTCATTATACTAATAAATTATTTAGTAAATTTGTAAGAACATTTTGATCAGTATTCTGACATCCCATCTTATACATTTCCAAAGAAATAGACTGGGAATTGAAAATATTTTAAGGAATTGTAAATATTTTATTTGATGTAGGTATGACAATGTTTTGGGAAATTGTAATATTACATTTATTGAAATGTTTTCTTTTTACGAGGACTAACCTTTGTAGCTGCTAAATTTTGTCATAGTAACCCAATATGCTTCATTCACACCGTTACTGTTATATAGTAGATTGTTCATTTGTGAGGGATGCTTTTGCTGATTTCTACGTTTCCTATATCTTTAATGATAAAATAATGTGTTCATACACACACATGTACTCCCCCATGTATATATTATGTTTGTAGGTATTATATACACAGACCCCTACACATGTATATATTGTGTCTGTACGTATCATACAGAGACATTCGAATACCTGTTTGCAAGCAACTATTACAATTCTACACCATGAAGGATTTAATGTATGAACTCTTATTTGAACCCACCGAAGTGGGCTATAGAAAAAAATTGAATAAGACTCATTGAGTTGTTCCCCTCCACGGAAATCTTTAGTAAAAGGCGAAAGATTTATGCGTTTTGAAGGGAAACCAGAGTTAGGTAGAATTGGTAAACGAAATGAGCAGCAAAGGTGGACTGAGGACTTCGAGCAAAGAGTATAAAGGGAAGAAAGGGTCACCTTGAAATAATTTCTTTTGCTGTTTTATCTTTTAAGGAATAGCACGCTTAAAAACAACTGGAATACAGTAGGTTCTGTGAAGAAATATGCATTCATGGTGCATACAGTTCAGTCCCTGATTCCCCGATCTTTGATAAGTATAATTATCTTCTATTTTCCTATTATATATTTTGATGTATATAATTTATCAAATAGGTGTAGACTGCAAATATTTTAGAGGGGGCAAAGTACGTCCACATATTACTGCATACATTTACCAATCTATGAACATGTGATAATCCGTTTTATTCGAACAAAGTCCTCAGTAAGATGGAGTGTACAAGTGAATATAGAATGTGACAGTATGATCATACTTTATAGGATCACTTCTATAGTGCGATTGCCGGGTTTCTCGCCAAGATTCTCGGAATATATTCAATCACGATGAGGACTGTTAGTGTAATCCTCTGAGCGGGAAGCGGCTCTCAAGTTGTGCTTGAGAGTTTTTGATGACCGTTCTGACTCGGTTTACCGATGTCAAGAGGAGGATCGCACAGGCTGAGTGGTTGATTATCAGTCCAAGAAGTGTTCTTGAAACTTTTGAAAAACTCCTCACAAGGAGAAAAAAATATATATATATATATTAGCTGCTTGGTGAATCATAGTTTCCAAAACCAAAACTGAAGTATCAATACTTGTTTATTAATGCAATATTCCCATCATTTCAAATGATTGAGCCAGCTTTGAAATAAACTAATTTTCAGTTGTAGATACTCTGTGGCTATTACATATGATTAATTGTTCTGTCATATTGGTATTGCCACTGCTTCTACCACTATGAATGTAATTATTACTGTTCCATTGGCAGTAACCTATTTGAATTCCTCTACCCTTGCTTTATTCGTATGTGAATATGTAATTTGGTAGCAGTAGTAACATTGAAATCAACGAGTGAATGTTTAATAATGGACACGAATCACTGCTGTGTATACCGAAGTCATTAAAAATAGGGTCTAGAATATGTAAAATAGACAGACTATTTCTAGAAATTCCGCCTCATTGTATAATACGGACAGAATTGTAAATCCAGGTGAAATATATAATCTACATAAGGAGTATCGCAATTATATAGCCATACACGAATCAACCCCATTACCCTTGTGAAATATTCAACTCGCTGGCCATGTAACAACTTAGAATATCAAGCAAAACATTTGTGGTTATTGGATCGTGTGGTCTAGTAGTTTGACTTTGTGGGTTGTGTGAAGAGTATGTTCTTGTCATGGAGGGTATTTACACTAAAATCCGTTAGTGCATTCCCCCATCTTACACTGCAAAGTTTGTAGTGACTGAGATGTTACATGAAGTGGGAAAGTGTGTTAGTCTTGTACTTCGATTAATTGCAATAGTTGTAGTATCCACACAATATCGTCAACTTGCTCATATTTTTTATTAGTTAAAATTAACGTTATCAGCCTCTTAGGTACTGCACTAAGTTACCAGTTTTCGGAAGTTTCTAGTGTTTTAGGAGAAGAAATGTAACCACAAGCACAAACACAGTAACCTGTACACAAAAATGAAAATGAAAATAGCCACAATAAAATTTAAAACCTATCGTAACGTTTCGAACTCCACGAGTTCCTCTTCAGACAAAACCGGAACCATTTTTCGTCTGAAGAGGAACTCGTGTAGAGTTTGAAACGTTACGATTATTTTCAATTCTTATTGTGGCTATTTTCATTTTCATAATGTAACCACGTTTCAAGAATGTCCAACTACAGTACCGCCGATCTTCTACAAATTGAGCAACTCCAGTTTACTACCAGCTGTATAGAGAGAAGATGCTGTCACACAGTGAAGAAGCGTATTAATTAAAAATGAGTTGATGTCCTCCCCGGAGGGAGTGGACCAATCCCGGAGGTACTGCAATACCGGGCCGATCCGCGGCAAAGGTGGAGCAAGCCCCTAGCACTTCGCCATTTTCCAAAATCAGTTTAATATCGTAGATCCCACATGGGGATCGTATCAGATATTAAGCTGATAAGAACAGATACTACACTTTGATCTTAGCCAAAAGGCCGAGAAGCGATACTGAAAGAATTTGGAAAAGTGTGCCGAGAAAATGTTCTGAGGACTTGCTGGTAACGACATTCAATTGCAAAACGTCATATACAACTACTTGTTAGCATATTTAAATCTAAAAGATCATTTACAAACACCCACACTCAAACACGCACACACGTCCGTGCATAAGACATATCACATGATATGTAAGTATAAAAAATAATATGTAAGTATATATTGTATATAGTAAAAGACCACAGTGTTTACAAGTTTTACCAGAAAAGAACTTCAACGTTTTCTTTGGGTTATTAAAATTGTAAACTGCCATATATGTAATATATATATATACTATATATATATATATATATATATATTATATATATATATATTATTATATATATATATATATATATAATATATATATTACTAGAATGGATCACACTTTTCTTGTGATATTATTCTATCTTTAATATAGTCGAGGCTCTGGATGATTATAGATAAGTTTGCATTTAAGAACATCCGAATCTCATGTACCCATGCATTAAACTACCTTGATGTTACATTTATGCGACTATTTACATGTATATCTCTATTTATGGATGTACTGTTAGATTGCATAGACGTGTATGTTAGTGTATGCATGCGCATGTGTATTCTTATGAATATGGTGATGAATTGTCATGGGAAATCTGAGTCATAGAAAGAGAAAAGGAAAACCGGATGAAGCTTCTTAATGACTCTACAATATGTTACGGATAGTTTCACGTTGAAAGAAAGTCACCTTCAATGTTTCTGTGTAGTTTTGAAAGGTAATCATGAGTCATTATTTGGGAGTTTTAAAGGAAAATTAAAGTTTTAGCGCGCGTGGTGTCCTCAGTGCGAGCGAGCGTGGGTCGGCTTGAGGCGAAGGAAAGCATACTTACCTGGCACAGGAGATACCGTGATCACGAAGGCGGTTCTCCCAGGGCGAGGCTCACCATTGCACTCCGGTGGCGCTGACCCCTGCGATTAACCCAAATGTGGTTAACTCGAGTGCGCAATTTTTGGTAGCGGGGGACTGCGTTCGCGCTATCCCCCTTATAACGTCTCAAAATTAAAGGAAATCAAGTTTTTTTTCGCCATATTCATACAGTCAAAAATTTGCGGAAGAGGTGTTAATTTAATCAACATTACAAGTTCTTCATTATATTCAGATTACCACCAATGTCTTTCATATAATCATCATTATTATAGGATCATTATCATAAGAATGATAATGAAAACAATAATAATTATATGGTAAAATAAATGGTAAAGATAAAAGAATACTAGTAATAACCATTACCAATACAGATATAACCACTGATATTCAAAAAACAAACAAATAACAAACACATGTTGATATTAATTCTTTCATTGTGGACATCTCGGAATGCAAGTGAATATCATGTTGATGAAGTAAGCAAAATGATGCATTCTATTAAAATGCATGAAAAGATCTTGGATCACATACAATAGTATGAATAATGTTAACTTTTATTATGCCAACGATCATACCACGTTGAAAGCCCCGCTTCTCAAGGCGGTAGCAT